GATGAGCGCCTAGGAGACAGACTGTGCCGCAATGCCACCGCCAACGGCTATAATCCCAACCAGCTCGGTACGACGACCTTATCATTACATAGGTGGCGGAACCGGGAACGGAGGGGGGGGGCACCGGCCCCCCTTGATTTTGCCATTTTAACATAAGCCCTATGGGTGTTGCATGGAAAGAATGGGCAGTGCCCCCCCCCCCCGCAAACACACACTTAATTAATTGAAGGTGTTTCGCCGCTACTGCTTATCAAGTCGGCCGTTCCAGCATAGCGATCCTGAGAGCACCGTCAAAGCTGTTCCACTAGCACCGGCAAAATTACCCCCATTGCCATTCTGAAAAGTTTTGTCTACAAAGTCGTTGTGGTTTTACGGAACTAGATGAAATTACTCTTGAAAACGCTGAACATCTAAGCAATGGGACCACAATGTCAAAATTTGTCTACAGCCCGAAATTTACATGCCAGGCATATAATTTTTTGAACGGAAGTAAAAGCTACCATTTTTCTAATCAAATTTATGTTTTACTGATTTTGAAGAAAATTACGAAGGGGAGGTTTTTGAGAAAAAATCCACGGATTCCTCATTTTATGTTGACCGCAGTACAAGATACGTGTTAAGATTTCTTTAAACATCGAAACATAAAAACTAAACAATTTAATACATTTTACGTATAAAATTGTCAATCAAATGAATACCGATGTGCTGAAAGCAGGAGACCACGCCGGTATTTAGTTAAAATTGCCGTAAGCCAAGGTGCTTTATTTGGTTTCCATGGTTACTGACGCTATTACGCTTGCATTTCGCGAGCAGAGAAGCTGAAAAGTTGAAACAGATTCAACTTTTCAGCTTGCAACCCGCGCCGGACTGATTTTGCTTGCGTTTCGCTCGCGTTTCGCTCGCGTTTTCCGAGCGGGATCCGGCGTGATTTCGCGGCGTAAAAGCGAGACGACCTGCGTGTTGGGAGCTGAAAATATGCCATGTATTGCAATGGGAGAAGCGAGACGCGATTTGCGAGCTTAAAAGCTGTGTTCCGGCCTTTAGACGAAGGTCTGTGACCGAAATATCATCAATTCATCAATAAATAATCATTTTCATTCATTTGGTCATTTTCCGAGGAGAAGGTCATATATTCTAATGATACTTCCTACAAAAGAAAAAAGAGTTGAAATGGCTCCAGACAAATGACCAAAAATATTTTCCTAAAACTGAAACTTAGCTAAACGTTTATAAGCGATAATTTTGACTTTTGGGGAGGATATTGGGGAAAGATATTGGGGAAAGATGTCATCGTGCTTAGCTGTGTTGCAGAAGAAGGAAAGGTTTTGGTTGTGTCTAGATAAAACCAGACCCGGGAGTGGGGCTCGAACTCACGACATCGCGTTCAGCTCACAGGTTACCCAACCTCAACGCTACGAGCACCTATCGCCCTGCGCAGCGTGCTCAGTGTTTCGGCTAAAGTTCGGCCAATGTGTCTGACGTCTGTCAATGTCACGAGGCGAAACCCCAAGGTAAATGTCCGTCCCGGACTCCTGGTAGCTCGGTCGGTAGAGCGTTGGACTCCATGTGCCATGTGGTGAAGGCGCACGTCCCGGTTGCAAAAGTCCGGGTTCGAAACACGACGTGTGCTTGACGTTTTTTAGCCTCCTGACGGGTATGGTAGTGGTTGGTGGCAGGCCGCTGCCAGGCGAAGTCAGCGAGGGGACCGGCCGTGCGCGGCTAGGTGCGCACGTTAAAATTTGGACTCTAAACCATAGACCATTTTGCCATAGACTAAACCTCAAAATCATAGTCTGCATTCTGCAATAGACCAGGAATTGCTTGATCGGAGGGTAGGTAGATGGCAGGTTTCAACGCTTAACCCGGCCGGGCCCGGGGGATAATCCCAACCACCGCAGCCCGGGGGGGGGCGTTTTTCGCCCCCCCCCCCCTGTCTAACTCCGTAAATAAGGGAGCTACGGAAACAAAAGCGATACCAAACAAAAGGTCCTTACGAGACGATTCTAATGCGCCCAAAATTTTTGACCTCAGGTCAATTTTCAAGGTCAAAGGTCAAGGTCAAAGGCCAAAACCGGCACATGTGTAATGATCTCAAAGTAAGCATTCTAGAGGACGGCAGGCTGCATCAAACCGGCAAAATTGGGTGTCAAACGAAATAAGAGAATCTGAGGATTCTGAAAATGTGCTCCAAATCAAAGGTCAAGGTCAAGGTCACGCTCAAAATTGACCTCAAACTTGGCACTTTTTCGCACATCTTGCGTGCTAACTTCCAAGATGTTTTGAAATGTTTTGAGGCTTATCAGTTCCCTATTTGTGGTTCATCTTACGATACAAGGCTGCTCAAAGGTCAAGGTCACAGAAGAGTATCCCTGCTAGAGGCTATTTCACTGATTCAAGTTAGTAATAATAAATAAGACAATTTTGCCATCCGGAAGCTCTAAATGAAGGCTTAGAGGAAAATAGATGCCAGATTCGTGATCAGCGGGTACAAATCCATCATAAACGACCTTTCATGTGTCAAGGTCAACCAGAGGTCATTCGAGGTCACGTGAGGTCAACATGAAACTTGACCTTTTCCGAACAAAATATATACCATTCGACGCGGCTTGACAAGGCAAATGCGATGGTACCACTGCCGTAGCTCTAGGACCATTTTTGTCGAAGTTGTTTGCGAAAAACTAAAACCACATTTCGGGGTCGTTGACCTGATCTCTGACCTTAGGTCACCGAAACTATTTTTCTAATTTTTTCTAGGTCAAACGCTACACAGCCGTGCTCGTAATTTGTCTTTATCTCTAAAACTCTATTTTTAGCAGCTATTTGAAGTTTGCGTCTGTGACTCCGAAGGTTGCCGTGCAGGGGTCTAGAAAAATGGACCTTTTGGCGTCATCAAGGGGGCTAGGTCCAAATTTTTTACTTCAGAAGATGTCAAATTGATGGGAGAAAAGGTACTGAAAGTTTCGCCTTCCTATCCCTAAGCGTTCGTGAGTTATCGCAAATATTCGCCAGGGGGGGGGCGAAAAACGCCCCCCCCCCCGGGCCCGCGAGGGTTAACAAGCTCAGCTTGGCGGGGACTCTCTCCTTGTGATTCCTTCCATTCAAAAGGTTCGGGCCAAATTTATATTAAAAAAGGGGGAGCCGAACCAGGTTGGGCCGAGTTGAACCAGGCTGGACCGGGGTCATACATGCAATCATGGTCAGACAAAACAGAAGTTAATTTCGGGTCAAATATTTTATTAACTGATCTTATTGTTTTTCAGCTTACACGTAAAATAACTTTTAGCTTTTTATAACTCGAGACTTCATGCACAGAAATGTGGCGTTCGTCCACTTTTCCTCATCGTCTCTTAGCGACTTGATTTCATGTGGTGGCGGAACGGGGGGGGGGGCATCGGGGCACCGTGCCCCCGTTTGATTTTGGCATTTTAACATTAGCCCTATGGGCGTTGCATGGAAAGAATGGGACCAAAAGTCGGCATTGCCCCCACTTCATTAAAGGTGTTCCGCCGCCACTGCTTGATTTGACCCTAAAGGCGTCTTACCAGCAAAAAAAAGTCACCTGCGTTATGCCTAAATATTTGCCCAAGGGCGCTCTACGCAAGAAACGCCAGCCGGTCAAAAAACTGGCGAGCGAATACGATCTCTCTAGTGCTTGAATTATATTCAATGAAAATTTCAGGAGACATAAATAATCTTAATCCTTATAGCTAGGCGCTCGGAGCATTCGCTAGCATTCCATTGCCAGCTGCATTATCAACGCCACATTTGCGTTACTCTGGGTGCATCATAAGTAACAGTAAGTGAACCGGCCACAGCAAAACCATGCCTCATTATCCTTTCCTTCCAAGCTGCCAAGCTAACCGGCCGCCCGGCCCACCACCGCGATATGGAACAACACTGGAGTGCGCCATTTGCCTACGGCAGTGCCCCACCGCGCCGGGGCTGTTTGACAGGTCACCCGCACCGTGACCTCGCCACCCCCCCCCCTCCCCGCCCACCTCCCCATCGGGCCCAGCTCGGTAGTGACCTCTCCTTGAATTTGACATGGACTCGACTAAGGCTCAACGCCATCTAGTTACGTCTGGAGATCCTAATAAGATCCACTGTACAGTGTACATAGCGCACCACCCTATTTTTGAAACCAGCTGTACCCTCCGTCCATACATCAACATCTGCGTTGCTCCGCAGGAATGCGTTGCATCGGCTGGGAGCACGACTAAAAATGCCATTTTTGACAGTGTTTGTCCTGCCAAAAGGAACTAAAAAGACATTGGTGTTCCGAAACGATCTAGCGGGCACTAAAATAGGCATATGTTCTAAAAGAAAGGGCGAGTTGATGACATGCTGATGGACATTCCGAATAAATAAAATGTCATGCTGTGCACGACGAGCCGCTAGAGTCCCTACTTTGAAAGCACGTAGGAGATCATTATATAATATATTCCAGTGAGGCGTCCGCCACGTGACAACGACTACTCAGCCGCATCAAGAACTTGTGCTGAACGCGTTCGATCCTTTTCAGATGGGTAGCAGCCGCTCCATTCCAAACAATGCTACAATACACTCTCGGAACGATTGTCAATTCAGCGAATTCAATTACAGCGATTATCAATTAGAGCGAGGGCCAGAATCAGCGAAGCCAGTCTGAACGAATATATTGCGGTTATTTGGGAGACCAATTGAACTGATACAGTTACAGCGAAACTGAACTCAACGTGAACTGAGTAGGGGAGAGTGGGGCAGAGAGTGACCTGTGACGTCATTGGTGACCCCGAGGTCAATAAAATTGGAGTTTCCTTGACAAATTTGATAGGGCTTTGGAACACCAATTGAATTTTGCGGATCCGTCCAGTATTTTCGGAGATACGGGGAGTGGGCAAAAAATAGCTCCCCCACCACCAGGTCGCGTTATAAACGGGCCCCACCAGGCCGCGGGCGCCTGAAGGCCGTGCCTCATCCCCACCACTCGCTGCCTCCTCCCCACCACTCGCTGCTTTCAGATTACGACGGTGACCCCACCAACAATGCGGTGACGTTTTCTCTGGAGGACGGGACCGGCACGTTCAACCTCACACCAGCTGAGCAGACGTCCACACAGCCGGCCACCTACCTCACCCGGCTGGTGTTGAACAGGGCACTGGACTGGAGCCGGCAGACCGAGTACCAACTCACCGTGACGGCACAGGTGGGTAATATCCGCACCCGGCGGGGCTCGAACCCGAGACCCCTGGATCGGCCACCCAGTGCAACGGCAGGCGCTGGTGGACGCAGGCACATGAGGCCATAATTCTTCCTTGAGCACTAAGCAGCCTCAGATAAGCTGGCCCGGTCACTGATAAGCCAGAAGCGAACCAGTGGATGAAGACACGCCCGTCGACCACGGCAGCCCAAAACATGACCTTCCGTGCGTTTTGTTCCTTGCACTTAGCTGTGACATTCTGGAATCTGTTCACAAGCCTGTGATCATTTTAGAGCGGACATTGTGCTCCTTTTTTCAAGTGTCCCCGAATCATACGGTGGACAGGCGCGTAACCACCACTGGGGACACTGGAGACCGGTCCTTAGTAACTTTTGGGTTACTGGGGACCGTCCCCAGTAAAACTGACGACCTCAATTTGCTTAACCCTCGCCCGCACATGCCATTTTCCCATCCTAGAACGCGCATGGGGGGGGGGGTTGCCACCCCCCGCGCCATTTCATTCTTGTTGGAGATAGAGCTTCGCGGTAAGACCAAAAAGATTCTTTAGGAAGAGACAAATCCAATGACACCCAGTTTTACCTTCTCAGGTCAGTCATTGACCTTCCAGGTCAGGTCAAACTAAAAAATGTTGCTGTGTTGGGTCACCGTTGAATATCAAGTGCGCTGCTTATCATATACCGATGACGATGCCATTTTCTGGTGCCAAGCCAGCTAGAACCTCTTCGTCACACTACCCGACCAGGTTTTTGCTGCTGAGGTCATTTCAGGTCAAGTTAGGTCAAGGTCAATGATATGTGTTTATATGTCTGTGTGTGTCTGTGTGTATACAGATGTGTGCACCGATTGTTTATGTGTCCATATTATATGAAATCATGATCTGAGAAGCTTTTATCAAAAATGCAGCCAAAAAAATCACGAACAGTAAATTCAGCTTGCCTAAAACACAATTATTTTAGATGACCTAGGTTGACCTTAACCCTGACCTTGACATCTGTGCATCGTCGAACAACATGTTCCATGATAGGTGGGAGGTAAGATTGTCAAAAAAGGCCGAAATCAAGGTGTCAACAGCTCACAAGGCCCATGGCCAACGCAATATGTTGAGAATTGGTCATTTGGGTCATGACATGAGCTGAAAAACAGGGTCATATCTCCGAAAGTAAAAACTACAGAAACTTGAAATTTTCAGTGAACATTAACCCTCGCCCGTAAACGGCGATCTGCCACCTTCGCCCATGCAGGGGGGGGGGTTGGTGCGACCCCCCCCCCTTGGCGTTTGAAAACGGAGCGTCGTAGAGCTTAGCGGAAAAGACCAACGGATTGCTCTCGCCGAGATCTCGCGATTGGTGGTATATTTTTTGGTCCTAGGTCAACATTTGACCTACTTTTGACCGGTCAAAGGTCAAATTTTCGGAAAAATAGACTTTTTTCAACTTTCGGCGGCGATTGCGGCAAAATGGTGGGAGATATCGACTTGAAACCTTCACTATCGTGTTCCTTGATCAATTCTCTATCGTTTGGTATGTATTTCGTTTCCCTAGCTCTAAAAATGGCGCGTTGGGAGCGCCGGAAGTCGGCAAGGTCACAGTCGGCGGCAGAAATTCGAAAAATCAAAATTTAAATTTTTGAAATCTGATTGTATTTTTGGATTTGGGAGGTCCATTTGCTCCCTATAGAAGCTAATATTGCTGCATATTCCCATTGAGGTGACAAGAAATAGCAAAATAGTGGTACGGGCGCTTTTCAAAAATAGTACCGGACGCTGTTCCTCTTGTGACGTCATAGCTCCGTGACCTGACCTGACCCGGTCAAGTTTCTTATACCATATGATAGCCAATACTTGCCCCAACATGCATGGGAAGTTTCATCACGATCCATCACCCGATGTCCGTACCACCGGCAGGAAACCTCGGGCGTTGGCACTCAGTTTGTGAAAATCCGGCCGGAGGCTGTTCCCTTTGTGACGTCATAACTCCGTGACCTGACATGACCCGGTCAAATTTTTTTATCAAAAGATGCGCAAGGTTTGCCCCATAAGGTACCCAAAATTTGGCGGCGCTGCGCGCCGCCGTTTTTGCACTATTTCCGAAAAACCTCAGGGGGGGTTGCACCAACCCCCCCCTACATGGGCGAGGGTTAAGAAAGGATAGAGGAGCAGCTATACGAAAAATCAGGCTTCTAGCTTACAAAATGTTGAGTGTAGAGCAGAAAAACTACCTGGGGGTGGTAACCCCCACCCCCATGTGCGGGCGAGGGTTTAGCGAAATATTGTCTCTAAATCGACGTGAAGAGTAATATGTACTCAACGTAAGATAAAACTATGGATGTTTTGTTTAACTAGCAGCGCACGGGTGGGCCTCTCAGCCAGCTTCGCCATGGTGGGGGGGGGGGCTTTTTGGCCACACCAGGTTATCTCGGAAAGTAACAAAGTAAGTTAGAAAGACGAGGTAAAAAGCAACAGATAGCTCTCTACAGTATCTTTCAGAATTACCCACATCATTTTTTGACCAGGTCACTGCTGAGGTCACTGCAGGTCACCAAAAGCAACATTTTCACGAAATTGTGTTCCCAATTTTGACAACTTTTCACAAATCGGCGCATAAGACAGGAACCAATAGAGCTGCAATGCTGCGGGAAAGCGCATTCGATAGCGCTTTCAAAGGCCTTTCTGATTAATGCTCTCAGATTTGACCTAAGGTCAACGCTTTAGCTTCCAGGCTGGCGTTTTTTTTGCGGAAAAGGTTTTTGCATCATAGCTTTGGACTTGTATGACGCTGATTTTACCGGCATCGCGTTTGTCTCATCGAGACGCGTCGAATGAACTATAAGTTGACCTGAAAAAGGTCAACTTTAAAATTTGACCCCTGGTCCAGATCACGGAAAAGGTCATGGACTCATGTTGCATGTCATTTGATTGGTATTGTTGAGCTGAACACATTCATGATGTTTTCAGAGCTCTAGCGTGTTTCTACCAAAAGTTGTGTAAACACACTGTTGGAGATGTTTATGACCTGAAATGAGCTGAGGGGCATAGAGGGGTCACAGATGCAATTTTCCGGTTCAATGTGCCATGTTTACCCGTGTCACGGTGTTTGAATGTCTTTTCGGCCAAAAGAAGAGCATTTCAATTTTCTCCCAATGATCTATAATGGAGAGGTCGTAAAATTGACCTGACACTAGGTTACCGATGTGAAAACTTTGAGATAGGTATACGATTTTTTCATACTGATTTCCTCAAGTAAAGGCTCGAGTTTCAAACTTCTGGGGTGTAAACTATAGGAATGACAGAGTCACAAAGTTTTAGAGGCATGGTTACTTTATTTGCCATGGTGACCTGACCTTAGGTGACCTGGGGCCAAAATTTTACACACGATGCGAAATTGAAGCATCATAAGCTATACCAAGTTTCACGGCGGTGCGCGCCGAAGTTTACCTTACACGCGCAAAAAAGCTGGCAGGTGTGCCCAAAAACGCCCCCACCCTCCCCCCCCACACACACACATACACACACTCCGGCGAAGGCTGATCCTGAAATATCATATTTGGTCTTCGCGGCCCTCCATGTGGTCCCCAGTAACTTCAGACTCGTGGTTACGCGTCTGACGGTGGACAGCCGTGCGCTTCAGTGAGCCGTTTCCCACGACCACCCAAAACGCCTGCGTGAAAAAAGAGCTTACCCGTGTTGTAGGGGGAGGCATTTCATGTCCGCACATAAGAGAAGTTAGGTGAAGTGTGGCAGTTTGAACTACATCAACAGAAATTCCCAGAATCTACTTCGCGTTTTAAAAATAATATTCATTATGAAAGACTCTGTAGTTGCGAAATAAGAAGCAAAACACTTTTGCGGAAAGGCCGCTGGTCTCTCGCTGGAGCGTTTCCGACCAGTGTGCGGCGCCCCTCAACAGTTACTGGCGACCTATACTACATATAGCAGCCGTCCCAGGCAAGCCCAAGGACGACCCTCAACAACAAGTGTCCGAAGAATTGTCTGTCCTGGAGTCCACCAGTGACGTCATATAACTGTGACCGCCCTGCTACAAGGGCTGCTCTCTGCCTGTCCTAAATCCACCAGTGACGTAACTATAACTGTGACCGCCCTGCTACAAGGGCTGCTCTCTGTGCATCCTGAAATCCACCAGTGACGTCACTATAACTGAAGCCTTCCTGTTACATGGGCTGCTCGCTCGGTGTGTGCCGCAGGACCGGGGTGGTCTGAAATCCACCAGTGACGTCATTATAAATGTAACTGACGTGGACAACATGCCTCCGGAGTTCGGCTACACCGGTTACACTGCAGAGGCGCTCGATCGCAAGGTAAGAAATAACATACGTGTATGCCATACCTGTGTGCCATGCCATTTGAGTGCACGCGTGGAATCGTGGAACTCCCCCGCTGATGGTAGCTGACTAGGGACGTCCCCCGGCTGGTGGTAGCTGACTATGGACGTCCCCGGCTGATGGTATATAGCTGACTACTGTTAACGCCAGACCCCTTGAGACCCTAATTTTTCGCGATTATTTTTAAATGCGTGGAGGAATTTCAACCAAGCTCAGGACATGGCCGTTTCAAGACAGGCCGAAACTTTTACAATTTAGATATTTTATCGCCATTTCAATATTTCAGGCACTTGTCATTGACTCGTAATATTAACTGTTTTTCCATCCTGGATAGAGGCTTTCTACGTCATATGACATTAGGCTCCGCCCACGACTGCGGCATTGACCCGTGCCCATCAGCGACCTCTGTACAAACGACATCCCTGCCATCTGTGAAGGTCTATGAATTTCGCTGACGCTTCACGTGCTATGAATTGCATAGCAATTCATAGCAATTGAAGTCAATTGCAGCAGACGGTCAGGTAAATGCTAGGCTCTTGTTGACTCTTGTACATATATAGGACCAAGAGGACCATCACTCCTCAACCTACTACTCAGTCGTGCTTCGAACAAACGTTAACGATTCCTTAAAAATACGATTTTCGATGTAGGGTATCTGTTTGAAATACGAGCGAGCCGTATGATGTGAAGCTCAGGCAATTAACCCGCGCCGGGCCGGTGCTCTGAGATTCCGCGCCGGGCCGGGGGGGTGTCTGAACACCCCCCCCCCCTTCTAACTCGGCTCCTGGGCCACGTAGCGACACGCGGTAAGCGGCAATCGAAAGAACGTCCAAAATAAGGACGAAAACACTTCGGTCATTTTTTTGGGTCAGGTCCAAGGTCAGGTCACCAGAGGTCACCAAAGGTAAAATGTTGACTATTTCAACATTTTGGAAACTGCCAACGGCTATCTCGGGAACCGATAGAGCTACAGCGCCGCAGAAAAGCGCATTCGATAGCCCTTTTACAGGCCTTTCTGAGTAATGTTCTCAGATTTGACCTCAGGTCAACGGTTTAGCCTCCAGAGGACAAAAACTCCAAAAATAGCCGTTTTTACGAAAATCGGTTTTTCGGCGATAACTTTTGACTCAAAAGAGCCATGACATTAATTTTGCCAGCATCGTGTTCCTCTCGTCGAGACGCGTCGAATGAACTATAATTTGACCTTGAAAGGTCAACTTGAAAATTTGACCTCAGGTCAAGGTCATGACCTGACCGGAAAAGGTCATGTTGCATATCAGTCGATCCGCAACGTCGAGCCGAACACATCTAAGGCGTTTTAAGCGCTCTAGGACGCCTCTATCAGAAGTTATTAGCGAAAAACTGTTAGATTCTGTTCGTGACCTGAGATGACCTCTGGGACATAACGAGGGGTCACAGTTGCCATTTTCTGGTTCAGTGTGTCAATTTTACCTACATCTAGATGTTTGAGAGTGTCTAGAATGGCGTTCGTGCAAAACAGACGCTTTTCAATTTTCTCCCATTGACTTATAATGGAGAGGCCGCAAAATTGACCTGACCTTAGGTCACCGATATCAAAATTCCGAGATATACATTTTGTAGATACTGTTGCTCTAATCAATCGCTGAAAGTTTCAAGGCAATCGATCAATCGGTGTAGCTATGACGAGCATTCTTATTTTTTTCTGAGGTGAGGTCACTTGGCGTGACCTGGTGACCTGACCTAAGGCGACCTGGGTCTGAAATTTTCACAACATGTGCGGAAAAGATGTACGAACAGGTGTGCCAAAAACGTTTGGTTTTTGGTTTTTGAGTTTTTGAGATAACGTTTTTGGTTTTTGAGATATCTGCGAAAAACCGCAGGGGGGGGGGTGTTCAAACACCCCCCCCCCCCCGGCCCGGCGCGGGTTAACTTATTATTGCGTTGTTCGATGGTTGCATAGCGATGTACAAATCGGCAGCTACTTGGTGACATCCGACATCCCATTATCGCATTATCTGCAACGCCATAGGCTTTAAATACAGGTGAATATTTCCTAACCTTATGTCAGTTATATGCCATCTGCCCGTCATATGCAGCTTATAAAAAAAAAATATCAGCGAACATATCAGCATTGTAGAAGTAATGCGCATTGAGCATTTATGACTCCTTAGTCATCATGTCGCTCTCTGGGCACTGTCAGTAAAGACGCTACGCACAACTCCGCCGGCTTTCGGCACCGCTCGACCGTCGCCCGTCCCCGCTCCCCGCCACAGCGAGAGTGACCGCGCGCCGGCCCGAAACCGCCGCAGGCCTAGACCACAGAGGCGGGGCTTAGCTGTGACGTCATAACGTATCACAGACTGACTGGTGATAGCCTCTACACACCGGATGAAAATCTTGCTCGAAATTTAACATTACGAGTCAATGACAAGTGCCTGAAATATTGAAATGGCGATAAAATATCTAAATTGTAAAAGTTTCGGCCTGTCTTGAAACGGTCATGTCCTGAGCTTGGTTGAAATTCCTTCACGCATTTAAAAGTAATCGCGAAAAATTAGGGTCTCAAGGGGTCTGGCGTTAACAGTAGGGTCGTCCCGGCCGAAGATAGATGCATAGCGTCGTCGCCCGGCTGATCCCCGTGTCCCGGCAGGCGCTGGGTCCGCTGGTGGTGAAGCCGGCGACCATTTCGGCCACGGATCCGGACAGAGGCGGGCCGCTGAAGTACACGCTCCTCGACCTACCGTCAGGTCAGCGCGCGTGACGTCACCGGCGGCCGGTGATCTGAACGGCGGCCCAGCTGCGGAGCGGCGCAGGGGGAGGGGGGGGGAGGGAGGGACGAAGGGAGGGAAGGAGAGGGCAGGCAGGCAGCAAATTACATTTTAAATACCAGTTTGGAGATCAAAATGATGCTACATTTAAAACTTATCTTGAATTGCATCGGATAAGTATTTCATTTTTTGCATTGATAACATGGTGGCAAAGTCACCCCATGTGGCCTGCAATTCACTTGGAAGAATCGCCACCAAAATTTTTTAGCTAAATTAAGTGACAGATGCCAGTTTTGTTGGATATGCTAACTTAACAGCCTTGTCATGAATGATCAACCATTCCAAGTTTAAGCATCACAGTTGGTCTAGAACATGGTTAGATAATAGAAAGTTCGGACATCTTCAAATTTGACCATTTCAATGACTCCAATAAAATGGAGCCCACTAGCCCAGTTCTGTATTAAGTGGTAACTTATCTCTCAGTGTTGGTTATGTTGGAAGGCCTATCAATTATCTTTCATTTGTGCATACAAAATTATTACATTATTCGTAAAATATCGCTGGAGATCACCCTAAAACATTTTTTGAGAAGCATGGCAAAGTCACCCAGCATGGCAAAGTCACCCCCGTTTGCGGTACCAAAGCTAAAAAGATCCTCGAAAAACGCAGCATAAAATTTTGTTATGAAACAGACGCATGGATATGCTAGATGTCACGTGCAAAGGTCAAGTGTAATCAATAATCAGCGCGTTTCAGCCGCGGGTTGGGAGCGCAAAGCGTTTTCCAAGCGGGACGCGCTTTCGACGCGGGTTGTGAGCTGAATTGCAAGTGAAAACTCAGCGAACGAAGCGTTTTCCGCGAGTTAGATGCGTTTTGCAAGCGTGTGCTGTGTTCCGGTTTTTAGGCTTTCCAATTTTGGAAGTCTTCCATTTTTGGAAAATGCATACCCATTTATGAAAGGTCCTTCCAAAAATTTAACCCGCGCCCAGATGGGGTCTGCCGAGCAACGCGGTCTGATGGGGGGGGGGCATTTTGCCCCCCCCCCCTCAGATCTCGAGCACCACGCAACATACCGACAAGCGGTAAACGGTTTTGGATAGCCCCAACGGGGAACTACCTTGTGACCCAATTTCATTGACCTCGGTCAAACCGATGACGTCACAGGTCAGGTCAAAGGTCGATTTTTCACCGTTTACAGGCATTTCAAGAAATGCGTTGTAAAATCGTGTAAAATGCATTTCATTGAAAATCATCGATGGGGAAATGTTCTTCAAACACATATTTTGTTATTTGAGGTCACTGATACCAGGTCAGGTCACAGAGGTCAGGTCACTGGGGGTCACAATATGAAAGTGTCGTGTGATATATGTTTTATGGTCCATTTTACATGACAAATGCGATTATGTGGGTCAGACAGACTTAAGGGCCAGCTTAGGTCACGTTTTGGTCAAGGTCAGGTCAAGGTCAGGTCAAGGTCAGGTCAAATTAGGTCAAATTTCAAAGTTGATATGTTTGCATAAAATGGGTATCGATTCGATGCAGCTTGTCACGGGGAGTTCAATGGTGGTCTCCGTTTTGCGCTACGAGGTCTAGAATTGCTAAAAATTGAGTTCAAAAATTTGACGTCATCAATTTTTAACAGTTTTTTTCGCTATAACTTTGCCAAAAAAGAGGTATCGATCTAAAATTTGGTATGTATATCGAAGGGTGCAGGGACTATCACTGTTGGCGCCGTTGTCGCCTGGCGATGGTAACTTTTAGTTGTCTGAGCGTTCGACAGATGGCGGTGTGATTTTCGGTTGTCCATTTGCTATCGATTTATTGATATGTTTATTTTTTGGTTGGTGCCTTGTGTCTTTTGGTTTATTTTAGGTATCGATTTGTAATTTAGTTTTGTATTGTGTTTCGCGGATATAAGTTTTTAGGATTTTGTTCGATGTACTACTACTGACCGGTGACCTCTACGGTCACGTGACCTGACCTGCCGGCTGCCACGTCACCCTTCTGGGTCAGCGGAGGGGCGGCCGGCGGGGCAGCGCCCATTCTTGGTTGGCCAGTCGCGGCGGCGTTAGCGTGCCGCGTATCTGATGGGTTTGTTCGTGTTTGGCTTGGTTCAGCCGTTCGACGTTTGGAGTGCAAGGGCGCACCGTGTAGGTGAGTGAGCGATTTTGACCTCGGAAATTAGTTCATGTTTGTGAGATTGTTTGCCGATTTGTTTTTCTTTGCTTTGTTGTGTCTGCGTATTCGTTTGGTTGGTGTTCATTTGGTCATATGTTAAGTTTCCTTTGTTTCGATTCCAGAAACCGCTACGCTTTGATCCGTTCTGTTTGCTGCTCTACGAGCAATATATGGTCAGCACAGGCGGAGAGCGCGTTTCACTACCGGTCGGCGCGAGATCCGGGGCCCTGAGGTCGTCGGCGGCTACAGTTTCTACACGCGCCAGTTTCTACACGCGCCAGTTTCTACACGCGCCAGTTTCTACACGCGCCAGTTTCTGCGCGAGCGGTATCTGCGCTCGCTGGCTGGTCTTCGGCTGCTCGGCGCCAGCTTCTGCGCGCGCTGACTGGATCGTCGGGAGCGCGCAGTTTCTGCGCGCCGGCTGGATCTCGGACGCGCGCAGTTTCTGCGCGCGCTGGCTGCGCTATCGGCGCTGTCCTACGGACGCGCGCAGCTTCTACCAGCTTCTACGGTCTGCAGTGGCTACCGTGGCTACAGTGTTTCGCCCTGCAGCAGAGCTCGACACGTGCCGACTGCCGGGCCTCTGCGCGTGTTTCAACGTGCTGAGTTTCTGCGTGAGCTAACGTGCGCAGAGTTGGAGTCGGTAAGTGATCTGGGTCTGGTTTGGTATGACCGTGGGTTTGGTTTGGTTTGACTCACCTCTGTGAGTTTGGACCTGTGAGTACCTACTGTCCGGGGGCAGTTTGGCCTTGAACCGGGGGCAGTTTGGCCTTGAACTTTGGACTTGGACTCGCGCCAATTCGCTCTTCCTGGGTTGGCTGTGTGCCAGGATTGGACTCAGTTTGGCTCAGTGGTATCAGTGAACTCTGGCTCAAGTAAGGATTTTGAGTGCTCTTCAAGGGAACATCAGTGGCCAGTGGGGCTGTTGGGGTTAGCTTTAAGGTGTTACTGTGTCACGCATTTGTGTGTTTAGTGTGTGTTGTTGTTGTTAGTCTGTGTGATGCATTATTAGGGTAAGGTAGCTAAATGGCATCAAGGGAGGAGCTCTCCAAGCTCAAGTCCTCAGAGTTAGTGGAGGAGCTCAGCTCTAGGGGGCTTTCGACTTTGGGTAAAAAGGCGGAACTTGTTGATAGGCTATGGAATGTTGTCAAGCCTGTTGATGATGAGCATGATAGTGTAGACAGGGACATGTCTCAGCTAAAGGGAGATGTAAATCAGGAACAGGTCAGGATGGCAGCAGGTCAGTTGGCTAGCAATACTTTGTCTCAAAATCTGTCAGGTTCTGGCTCGGAAGCGTCTCAGTTGCTCATTGCAAAGTTGAGGAATTTGAAAGAGATGGAACAGCTTGAGGAACAGGAACTTAGGATTAAGATGAGACGTCAGCAGTTAGATATAGAGTTAAAGCTGGCTGAGTTGCCCAGTGGAGAGGTAAGTGAGGAAGTGATTGACTCATTGAGGATCCAGACAGACAACCAGGTGAGATCTCCCCGTTCTGATGAGACATCCGTGCTGAACTCACAGATGCAGAGGATGTTGTTGCCACCTACTGAGATTGAGAAATTTGATGGTAACGTCATGAAGTACAAACTGTTCATCAGGTCATTTGAGGCTAGAATTGTGTCACGCACGACTGACGATGACGAGCTCTTGCACTACCTTGAGCAGCTGACTGTGGGAAAACCGAGACAGATTGTTAGGAGCTGTATGTACCTGAGTGAGGGTGGTTATGCAGAGGCCCGAAGGCTGTTAGATCAGAGGTATGGCAGCTCACACAGGGTGGTCGATGCATACGTGCAAAGACTGAACGATTGGGGCAGGATCCCTCCAGGTGACTTAGAGGAGTTAGATAGGTTGACCCTGTACCTGACTGAAATCAAACACGCAATGACTGACTTGGACGTTGCAGGTGAGCTCGAACACCCGAGAACCTTGAGAGAGGTGGTTGACAAACTGCCTGGCTACTTGAAGGATAGGTGGATGAGGTTAAGTGATGATATCATGGAAGGTGAAGGGAGGATGGTGAGGTTCAGGGACTTGGTCGATTTTTTGGCCAAGGAAGTGCGCGTTAAGAGAAACCCAGTTTTTGGTAGGTCCTCGGAGAGCAAACAGGCTGCACAGAGGTCAAAGCCACAGGTCTCTGGTCGCATGCAGGCGCAGTGCAGTGCGACTGCAGTAAGCTCAGGATCAGGTGAGAACAGATGCAGGTTCTGTCGAGGTAATCACTTCCTTGATGACTGTCAGGAGCTGAAATGGAGACCGATGGATGAGAGGAAGCAGTTCATTCAGACTCAGAGGTTGTGTTTTGGTTGCTTGCATGAAGGTCACACTGCCAGGTTCTGCAGGAAGCGTAGGAAGTGCAGCATCTGTGGTGGTCTGCACGCTACTCTCCTCCACAGGCAGGGTGAGCAGCCACCTAAGGCTGAGCAGGTGAGACCCAGTGCTGCTCCCAGCAGCTCAGTTCAGGTTAGCAGCGGTGGAGTCACTGCTGACTCTGGTCAGAGAACAGGTACTCTGATGCCTGTGGTTCCAGTGAGAGTTGTGTCACCCTCAGGGAAGACAGTGGAAACTCTTGCCTTTTGTGATAGTGGCAGCTCTGGAACTTTCATGAGTAAGAGTCTGGCTGATCAGCTTGGGATGTGCTCAAAGTCCACTACCATTTCTGTTGACACTGTGTGTGGATCTGGGAGTGAGATTTCCACATCTGTGATGGAGGATGTGAAAGTTGGTCCCCTGAAAGGTGAAGGTCTGTTCTCGCTCCCTCCAGTGTTCACTCTTGGCCGCATTCCTGTGTCCACTGAGGA